TCTGTCTGTCTGTCTGTCTGTCTCTCTCTCTCTCTCTCTCTGTCTCTGTCTCTCTCTCTCTCTCTCTCTCTCTCTCTCTCTCTCTCTCTCTCTCCCGGGGTTAGAAAAATACTAGCTTGCATCAGTTTCCTTAAGGCTATGTACAACTAATCATTCCCTCATTCCCTTTTACACGTAACTCGTTAGACTGTCTTCGTACGCCATACCGTTTACCCGTTGAAACATTCTGAGGGTGGTTAGCGGGTGTTCTGGCGTGGTTTGCTCCTTCTTTCCTATCAAACATCTGTCGTCCTGATATCTCCTCCATCCCTTTTGTGTTTGTCACTCTCTTGTAACACCTTTATTCTTCAGCACTAACATGACCTTATTGTGTTGCAAGTGCCGTAAAACTTTAATAAAAAAAAAAGGAAGCACGTTATAACGTGTTACCGGTATAGACTCGTTGTTTTAGTAAGTGCTTTACGGCTCTAGAAGCACAAAAAAATCATATTATATAAAGTCCGAAGATTAGAGATGTTACAAGAGAGAAAAAAAACACAAAAAGTAGGAAGAGAGATAAGAACGATAAATGTTGGATAGGAAGGGAGGAGCAGACCGCACCAGAGCACCCACCAGCCATCCATCTATGAACTTGTGTGAAGATGGTTCCCAAATATTCGAATTCCTCTACTTACTGGAGTTGTGTCCCATCAATAAAGATGTTGAGTTTCCCTGGGTTTCTGCTGACCTTCATAACATTTTTTAAACAGGAGATTTTCATGTTTAGGTGTTTACATTCCTCATTTAAGTCTTGTGGTATATATATATTTTTTGGGGGGGTTTGTTTGTTTGTTGTTGTCGTTTGTTTTTTTGCTTTGTTTTGTTTTGTCGTAATTTCTCTTCATCTGTATTTGATATGCTCTGGTCATCAGAAAATAGGAGCTCGTTCGGTTCAGCGATGTAGCCATTGCCTCTTTCGTGAAATTATCCATGAAAATTGTAAGTCCCGAAGAGAGGCGGAGATCGAGAGAATATAGCCTTGTCTTACTTCAAACAAACTGATAAGTCAGCAGTGAGCCGAAGATTTGTATTGTTATACGGGCCGATCGCCCGACTCGATTGCCCGAAACTGAAAACAAACACGTTTGTTTTTGAGGCGACCAAGTCGGACGATCGGCCGGCCCGATCAGCCGATCCCATCCGTAGTGGGCACCCCGTATTAAGAGTACAAGTTATGGCACTGTCTAATTAATATTGATGTGCAAGAAGTAGCCTGTTCTAGATGGGTGAGAAGGCTTGGACAAATAGGCTAAAATAAATAGATATATAAATGACAAACACGCCCCCTCGGGTATTTGAACCTGAATGCTTAGTATTTTTAAATCACCGGCTAATGAAGTGACGTTTTTAAAAGAGGGCTATAATTTTTAAGAGCCCCCCTCCCCCCCCCCCCCCCCCTCTCTCTCTCTTTTCCCATACTGGCTTTTGCCACCCCAGCAAGTTTTTTCTTGGCTCCTACCTCTTTTTCTTTATACTGAGTGCACACTGTCAATGAAATTCAAAATTTGTTTTAGTAAGTACCAGCAGAATTTCCTACATGGAGGGGGCAGAAGATTTCTCTGTACCTCATCAGCTTCAGCAGTGTCCGCCCCGCTAAACAAGTGGGCAAAAGGCGGCAGAAGATATTCGGACACGTCTCCGGCGAGCACCCAGGAATTATTTGGAGACGCACTCCCGCAAACTGCTTTGGGTTGTCAAACTGCGTATTAATTGTTGCAGATCACATATATAGCCACTAAAACTGTCGCAAATCATTTATTTTCAAGAAAATTTCGAACTCAAATGCTAAGTATCAAATTAGGGGTTAAAATCCCTGTAACCCACACATTTTTTTTTACTTGGTCTAGAGGCACAAAGCATTTTGATTGGTCTGTCTCCGTCGGAGACGTCTCTGGATAGATATTGCAGCACAATGCCAAGGAGAAGTCGGGAAGAGATACATTTTTGTACCACACTGAGCTGAGCTGAAAGGCCGAGAAGGCTAATGAAGAGATTTTTTTCTTTTTTTTTTTAAATCGTAGGAAAAGTTTACGGCACTCGCAACTCACTTAGATCTAGTCATATTATGTCTAGAATCTAAATCTGCTGAAATCACCGAGTCAACGAGTCCACACAGACTCTGCAGTCTGCAGTGCTACCATTCATTTATGTAATTTGTTATAAAAATAAGAAAATAAATGAAGTTACTTACCAGCAGTGTCACCCGTGTGCCTAAATACAAGAGTATGTGACCCTGACCCCTGAAACAGAGCTCCTTGATTGTGTTTTGACCAGGTTTAGGCATACTTTCCTAGGCTTTAGGGGTCAACTTCAGGTAAAATCACACAAAAACAAAGCGATAGAACAGAGATGGCGACCGTTAAAGGCTCTATTAAACCCCGGGGAGGTACCGTCGAAAAGTCGAGACCAACCCGAGAGGCGTGTCGTAAAACGGAGACATAACTTTCAAGCCGAAGAAATAACGCGGTGTTCGCCTCCCCTTTCAAGGGGAAATAATCGGCTCGGAAGTCCACCGCGCCCAGTTTAACGATTGCTTCCCCCTGGAGCGAAGACAGTGGTGGTGAAGACCTTGTGTGGCAAGGAGATCATTATCGACATGGACTCACGTTTTGAAAATTTCAGACAGACAGACAGACTGACAGACAGACAGACAGACAGTGTCACCTGGGTCTGATTCTTTGTTTTCCACTTTCCATATTATCATAGTCTGTCTGTCTGTCTGTCTGTCTGTCTGTCTGTCTGTCTGTCTGTCTGTCTGTCTGTCTGTCTGTCTGTCTGTCTGTCTGTCTGCTT